CCTCCCAACTCTCTAGCCCCTTGGCCCTCCCAGTCGCCCCGCCCCTCTCCCTCCCAACTCTCTAGCCCCTTGGCCCTCCCAGTCGCCCCGCCCCTTTCTCTTGGCCCACAGGGCCCTGAGTCTGGATGGGAATCCAGGTGGGCCTCCTCCAAGGCTCAGACATTACTGCTTGGTCCTCCTGCTGCAAGGGCCCAGACTGGTGCAGTTAAAGGAGGCGTTGCTGGCGAAGGCAGATGGAGGGAGGAGCATGGTGGGCCTGGCAGTGGTGCCGGCCCCCAGAGGGGGGGGGACAGCCTTGGGGTGCACGCCTGGCACGTGCTGACGGTAAATGTGTGAGTGGACCACTGCAAAGGGCATGAATGCAAGACCACCTGGTGGTCGGCAGTGATTCCAGCTCCCTAACCCTTCCTGGCCTGCCCTTTCCTTGCTCAGGACCTAGACTGCCCCTTCCTCGAGGGTCTGTATGTCACGGAGCCAAAGACCATCCAGGAACTGCTGTGTAGCCCCTCCAAGTACCGTCTGGAGATCCTGGAGTGGATGTGTGTCCGGTAATGTTCTCCTTTCTTCCTCTTCCCGCCCTGGGTGGCCGCAGGTCCCTCAGCTCCTCCCTGCCCACCCAGAGAAAAGTGGTCAAGTATTTTTACAAGTAGCTAAGCGCTTGGCTGTTTAACCAAAAGGTCAGCGGTTCAAACCCAACAGCTGCTCCTTGGGAGAAAGACCTGGCGATCTGCTCCTGTAGAGATTATAGCCTAGGAAACTCTATGGGGCGGTTCTACTCTGTCATGTGGGGTCGCTAGGAGTGGAATCGACTCGATGGCCCCAACGCCAACAACCTGACCTCCCAGAGAGCCCCCGAGTCTGCCCCCCGGCCACTGTGAGCAGCTGGTTAGGGCAGAAGCACTGGCTACAGAGCCCTGCTCACAAGCTGGCTGAACGTGACCCCCCAACAGCCAGCTGGGCTGGGCCCGCCCTCGCCACTTAGCGGTAGTGCTGAGCTTGGCCCTGGAGCATACTTCCTGCTTGAGCTGCTAGTTGGGAGGTTCAGCACTGGCGGGGACCTGAGATGTGGCCCACCTCCGTCCCTGCACTTTCAGACTGGAGACGTGGGCTGTCTTGGCCCTTGGAGTGGAGTCGTGACCAGCAGGGCTGGGCCCAGGGTCCCTGTCTGAGTCTCTGCCCACTGGGGCAGCCAGCTCTGACCAGCCCCTGCTGACCCAGGCCTGTGGGCTAGCACTGGGCCCCGACTCTGTCTGCGAGCCCTTTGGGATACCCTCCCTGAGTGTGTGTGCTGGAAGCCAAGCCTGCTTGGATGGCCGCGGGTGTTTGGCCTGATGCCCTCCAAAAGGCCCAGGAAGTCCCATGGAATGTCTGGGGACGCCATGCCCACTGTCATCTTGTGAACAGCCCAGCTGCTCTCTCTCGATGAGGCAGCCCTGAGCTGATCATCTGCCTTAAAGCTCCAGGTCAGGAAGGCTTGGAATGTGTTTTGGGTGACCCCCAGAGGCCTCTGGATGGCGGAGGTCGGTTGGCAGAGGGAGGCCTGCCCTCCTCAGCCTGGCCCGTTTGCTCTTGCTGCCGAGGAGGGGGCTCAGGCAGGAGCCTCGAGGTGGAGCACCGAGGATCCAGCCCACCCCCGCCAGGCAAGCCTGCCAGGCAGCAGGAGGCCAGTAGGCTTGGCCCCGGGCCAGCGTCCTGGGGACAGCCCAGAGGAAGGGGGAGGCATTTTCATCTTTTCCGTCTTTGCCTTTCCAACCTCCTCTCCTGCTGCCTTCCAGCCCTTTCCCCAGGCCCCTCACTGGGCCTGCACACACCATACGCCTTCTCCTCACTTATTGACTACCTCGTTATGTGACATTTTGCATTTATGACAACGATCAAAAATCTACTGTAGGACTGTTTTGTGCATTAACGACATCCGTCTGGCAGTAATGAACGCCAGGGTGCGAGGCGAGAGTAACACTGGCTGTGATGGTTAAGGTTGCGTGGCAGCTTGGCTGGGCCGTGATTCTCAGTGGTTTGGCAGTTATGTAATGATGCAGTTTGGCAGTTATGTAATGATGTAGTCATCCTCTGTTTTGTGATCTGATGTGGTCATTGTCCATTTTCTCATAATGCCGATTTAGCATAACGACCTGGTCTTTGGAACCTAATCATGTCAATTAGTGAGGAGGGGGTGTGTACTCTTAAGCTTTTGCTTTCACTTAATGCTGTTTCCATCCTGGGAACGCTATTCAGGTCTTTGCATGGTACACAGACTCCTGTGCTGTCTTCTAAGACCCAGCTCCCACGTTGTCTCCTTGCACACCGGCTCCCATCCGCACGGCTCCCACCCGCTCTGGAGCATGCCTCCACCGGGGCCCTGGCTCGCCGGCTCTGTCCTGACCTGTGGCAGGACGCCTCTGTGTAGCCCCAGGCCCTAGCAGGTGTTGGAACACGCACCTGTGTGCCCGTCCAGGGGCTACCACCGCGGGTGGAGGTCCTCAGGGAGCTGGGGGTTTGGCAGGGCAGGAAGGGCCGACTGTGGGTCCCAGTGGCGTCTGAGCCAAGTGCTGGGGGCATTCGCTGGAGGAGGTGGCATTTGATCTGGGCCTCTGGAGGGTGAGTGGCATGTCCCCAGTGTGAGGATGGGTGATGGCAGCATGCCTTTTGTGATGGGAGCGGGGAGTTGACGCGTAGACAGCACGGAGGGCAGCTCAGGGCCAGCTCACACGGGGCCTCGCAAGCCACGTGAAGGCCTTGGACCTTTACGCTCTGGGGCAGGGCGAGCAACAGGGGTCTCACTGGGGCAGTGACCTACTGAAATGGGATTTTGGCCATGTTCTCGGGCCCGACAGGAGATGGATTTGCAGGGGAGACACGAGGCAGTGAGACCCACAAGGAGGCTGTTGCAACAGTCCCGGGGCAAGGTGGCTGGCTCAGGGTGCCTGCCTGGGGGGACCAGAGCCCATTCCAGGGACCCGGGAGGAGAGACGGTAGTGGGGCTGGCCTGGGTGAGCGCAGGGGGGAGGGAGTTCTGGAGTTGGCTCCGTGAGAGGGGACCCAGATTTGCCTGGGCCAGGCGGAAGCTGGGGCCAGCAGGAAACCAGGCTGCTCTGCCGGCCAGAGAGGGATGGGTGGAGGGAAGGCTGAAGCCATGTTGCTCACTGGCTTCTAGTCCTCTAAATACAAGGAACCGAGTCCTTCGTGGAGAAACCAGTAGGTGTCCACTTGCTCTTGAGGGTACTAAGCTAGCAAAGTGAGCCTTTAAAGGGCCTGAAGGAGGCGGCGGCGGTTACAGCTTCCCCCAGATTCACGCTTGCTTCTCTCACCCAGCCTCCACATCAAGGCCCTGATCTGGGGCCCTGGTGGCCCCTGGGAGCCGCAGCCGCGCTGACCTTCAGTGGCCTATGTGCCAGAGGCGCAGGAGGTGGCGCCACAGGACCTTGGGGGTGCCTGCAAGGCCTCGGGGGCCTCCTGGGCTCCCTGAGAGCTCGGCTTTCTTTCAAGGCCTCAACCACCATTCCTTGCTGCCTTGCTCCCTGCTGATTCAATAAAACCAGTTTAATTAAACCCCGTTCTGAATCAGGTCACCTAGGTTTCGGTGAGTTTGGGTGTTTGCAGCCTGGGAACCCGTGAGTGCTCTCTTGTAAGCGGGAACGTTGCCCAGCACCTGGGCCTCAGCCAGACTCCAGGCTAGCGGCTGCCTTCTCTTCCTCCTGCCCTGTGGGTGTCTTAATACGTTGTCAAGGATGGGCTGCGTAGCTGATGGACAGCTCAGTCCTTCCCTCTCCACTCAGGCCTCAGGCTCTGGGGAGCCCACCAGCTCCCAGGGCCCCGGCGTGATGGGCTCTCAGTGGCCTGGGTCTTGGGCGTTGGCTTTGGAGGCATTGGTCCGGGGAAGGCTGGGGTCAGCTGCACAGAGCAGCCACACAGCTTGCTGTACGCTTACCCTCGCTGGCAGGGGCCAGGGTGAGCTGCCCACCTGAGGTTAACAGCAGGGCGCAGCGGCCCTTTGCAGGCCAGGCAGTCTCTACTATTGTAGCAGGACAGCAGCCATAGACAACATGGATAGATGGGCCGGGCTGGGTCCTTCACAAAAACAGGTGGCCAGCTCGAGGCTTCAGACTGAGACCTGGATTAGCACAATCTCCTGTAGAAGTATGCTTTTTAAAAGATGAAAATCCACCCCCCTCTATTGAAAGAGCTAAGCACCGACACTGACTGATGGCAGAATGTTCTAGGGCGAGAAGCAATGACCTTCACTCCTGAACGCTCACCGGGCCCTGTCCCGGGCTGGCAGATGCGCTGGGCCATGGCTGTGAGGGGGCGGGAGGGGGCTAGTGGGCGGAAGCAAGGGCCAGTGCAGCAAGGGCCTCGGCTGACGTGCTCAGAACAAATCCACGCCATGATTTAAAGGAAAGCGATCCCCCGGTCCTCTGGAGAAAGGTGTGCAGAGCTGGAATGCACGTGCAGAGAGGACAGTGTGGGGACACTCCAGCTCTGGCATGGCCCTTTCTGGCCTGAATTGTTCTCCTGTTTCCCCACAGGGCCTGTCCCTCCTTACAGGACAAGTTCAGCTCTCTGAAGGGTGCCCAGGCTGAGGTGAAGATCCAAGGTAGGGCTGTACTTCAGAGCGTGGAGCCTAGTGGTGGAGCCCTGAGCTGCTTCACAGCCTTCCGTCCCAGCTGAAGTTCCTTTCCCTTTGGTCTGGTGGTTTTCTTCTGGACGGTGCGCACGCCTGTGGATACTTCTCCAGCTGCCCAGGACCAGGGGCCACGCAGAGGCGTGGAGAGTGGCAGGGCCCCCGTACTGGTTTCCTAATTGGTACTACAAAGCAGACGGCCTATCAGAACAGAAATTGTTTCTCACGGTTCTAGAGGCCAGAAGTCCGAATTCAGGATGTCGACAAGGCCGTGCTCCTTCTGAAGGTTTTAGGGGCAGATCCTTCCTTGTCTCTTCCAGCTTCCGGTGGTCCCAGGCATATGTTGGCGTGTAGATGTGTCTTCACGCGGCTGTGTTCCTCCCGTGTGTCTCTCTGTCTTTCCTCATGTATAAGCACACCACTCAGCCGGGGTCAGGACCCAGCCTACTCCTGTATGGCCTCGTGTTAACTGCTAACAGCTACAAAGACCCTATTTCCAAACAAGGCGACGTTCACAACCACAGGGGTTAGGACGTCTTTCGGGGGACACAGTTCCATCCAGAGCAGCCCCTGTCCCACGCGAGCAGGATGAGTGTCCTAGGTTTGCGGGCGAGATGAGAGAGTGGTGTGAAAAGATGCAGACAGCCTCACTGCTGTCGGCTCCTCAGGCAGCTGGCCGGCTCCCGTTAGAGGCCAAGTGAGGGAGTTCTTCGTGGGAGAGTGTCCAATTCCAGGCCTTATTGTACAGGCAAGGACGCTGACGCCCAGAGAGGGGCCGTGACTTGTCCACTCTGGTGGCGGTGCCCAGCCCGATGACTGGGGGCACACACTCACCACAAAGTGCCTTGGCCTCAGCATGTCTGGGTGGCGTCCTCTCTGGTTTGGGTGGGCAGCCACAGTAACAGGATCTTTTTGCTCTGACAGAGATGGTGAAACTTGGCCATGAGCTGATGCTGTGTGGGCCAGATGACCAGGAGCTCGTGAAGGTGAGAGAGGACGCTGGTGTGTCCCCGTGAAGGTGGGCCTGGGTGGAGTTTCTTCCCCAGCGCCTCAGACTCCTCGGGCCTGGGCGCGGCTGGGGCCTGGGCACGCTTCCTCTAGACATCCACGGCCTCCTGCTCGTTAGTCTTCAGGACAGGAGTCAGTGGGATTCCCGTGGGTAGACCCCCTCCATCCCGGGGCGGGCGGGGGCCTGGTGGATGCGGGTCTCTGGCTTAGAAGGAAGAACCAGAGGGGCAGAGTGCATCCGTCCTCGATCACCTCGTGTGCACCCAGCACTGCTAGTACTTCATCTGCCAGTGATTGCCACGAGGTGATCGAGCAACACGGTGGCAGAGCCAGGCCTCAAAGCCAGGCCCCTGCCTCCCGAGCCCCCGCGTTTCCCTCTGCCGGCGGCTGCCGTCCAAAGGGTGTGTCTAGGGGGTCATCCTACTCCTGCTGTCCAAGAAACCCGCTCCCTTCCCTGAAGAGCTTTACGAAAATCTTCGAAATGTTTACAGATTCACGGAAAGTTGTAAGAAACGTACAGGGAGGTGCGGGACACCCTTCGCCCAGTGTTAGCATCTCGTGTGGCCGTAGGTCAATATCACGAGCGGGAAACGCCCATGGGCACCGTCCGCAGAGCCCGTTCAGATTGGCGCTGTGTGTGTATGTGTGCATGCAGTTTCAGGACACGTGCAGATTCGTGTTCGCTACCGGCACCAGTCATGACCCTCGTGTTGCCCGTTTAGAGTCCGCTTCTCTGGGCTGTGGCTCCAACGTGAGTTCGGTTTCCACAGCCTTGGCTAATCCGATCCGCCCTGCATGTGCGCCACCCAGTGGTCAGGTTGGGACCTGGGCGTAGGTCTGTGCACTGGCTTAGCAGTCAGTCTTTGGTCTGCTAATCAAGATCCATCCACAGGTTGGGGTGAGCCCAGGAGTTCATAAGCAGATTTGTGGGGCACTCCCCCGAGCTGGTGGCACAGTGGTTAAGAGCTGGGCTGCTAACCAAAAGGTCGGCAGTTGGAATCCACCAGGCGCTCCTTGGAAACCCTATGGGGCAGTTCTGCTCTGTCCTAGAGGGTCAGTATGAGTCGGAATCGACTCGATGACAATGGATTTGGCTTTTGTTTTTTCTCCCAAGCTCTTCTCTCTCCTCTGTCTCCTCAGTCCATTCTAGTCCCCACCTCCATGACTACCACAGTCACCCGTGTTGAGTCTGGCCCTTTGCAGCCCCAAGGCTACACGGGCACGCCTAGACACCGGGGCCTGGAGCCTGGGACTTGCTGGCACAGCTGGCCTTGCTTGTCTCAGGGGTGGCCAGTGAGTAGGGCTTCCCTCTGCAGGGCTGTGCCTGCGCTCAGAAGCAGCTGCGCTTCATGGACCAGATGCTGGATGCCATTTGGAGCCTGAGCATCGGCTACTCCAGTTGTTCTAGGTAAAGGGGCAGGTGGGCCTCAGCTGGATGGTTGAGATGGGCCGTCGGCCAGTCTTCTCTTGGTTGCTCACCTGGATCCCAGAGCTAGAGCGGGCTGCAGGGTCTTGCTGGGCACCTGGTCCCGCCACTGGGCAGATCTCCAGGGCCTCACTTTCCAGACTGAGCCCAGGCAGGACACCGTCCCCCGGGGGTCATGGGCTAGTCGAGAGCTGGGCAGTGTCTGTACCTGGTGTGGCTCCACCCGAGGGGACAGTTCACTGCCCACGGTCCTGAGTGGTCCCTTTGAGGGGCCGGCAGGGCCCCAGGCAAGCAGGGAGCTCCTGCGCTCGGCTCTAGGTGCTGAAGGAGGCCGACTCTAGTGGCGTGGCTGTGTGGTCTCCTTTCGACTCTTCCATGTGGGCCAGGGGCTAGGTGAGGCAGGAAGCGCAGGCCACGGAGGCCTGGCGAGGCCTGTGATGGCGTGGTCTGTGCCTTGCAGCGTGGAACAGCACTTCAAGGACACGAGGGAGAAGAATGAGGTGCTGCTGGGAGATCTCTTCTCCAGCCCGCACCTGCAGGCGCTCCTGAACCCCGAGTGTGACCCGTGGCCCCTGGATATGCAGCCCCTCCTTGGCCAGCAGAGGTACAGCCTGCTCCCTTCCGGGCCTGGCCCCGAGGTGGGGTTCCCTGGCGTCCAGGGCAGCGCCGAGCCAACCGGGCTGCCTTCTCTCCTGCAGGACCAAGCTTTCTTCAGAGTCAGAGGAGAGGAAGGTGACGGAGCTGGCCAGGCAGCTGCAGGAGAGTGCTGCCAAGCTCCAGGAGCTCAGGACACAGGTGAGGGTGGGGCCAGCTGCCTCCTTGGAAGAGGCTTGGCCCTGGCCTCAAGGCTGCTGGCACCGCTCTGCAGCCCCAGGGGCCTGGCCCGGGGGGCCTAGGGTACTAGAGCTGTGTCTGCCCCGTGCACAGGGGTGTTGTGAGGCTTAGGTGAGGTGGCTTGGCCCTGGCAAGGTTCTAGAATGCAGTGGGTGCTCAGTACATGGGAACGTTCCCTGTTCCCGAGAGAGCCCGATGTGAGGGTGAGAGGAGAGCTAAAGGCTTCCCTGGCCCCAGGGGCGTGGGTTCCAGGGCCGTGTGGGGATGTTTTCCATGCCAGGCGCTGAGCTCTATGCTTCCCCCCACTTTCTCTCACGGGACCTTCCCAGCAACCCCTGGCCTGGCCTCCTTATCTTACTGAGGAGGAAACAGGTCCAGAACGGTCAAGGGCTTGGCTCCCGGAAGTGGCAGGGCTGAGATGGGAAGGCAGGCCGTCTTGCTGTAAACCCAGGGCTCTGTTGGGTGCTAGCTGCCCCCTTCGGCTTCTCGTCTCTGTCTCTTCCTGTCTCACGTCCCCTCTTGCCTTACATCCTCCGACTTCGGCAGCTGTCTTGTCAGCCTGGCTGGGGCTGTTTCGGTCGGACGCTGCCCGAGGCAGGAGGAGCGGGTGGGTGCCCCAGGAGCAGGAGCGGGCAGGGCGCCACCACCTCCGGTCTGCTTCGCAGTGCTTACCTCAGCAGAAGGAAGCAGCCGCTGTGGCCGGGGCCGACCCCAGCACCTTGGACCAGAAGCTGCGCCTGGTCATCTCTGACTTCCACCAGCTCATTGTGGCATTCCTCCAAGTCTACGACGACGAGCTGGGTGAGTGCTGTCACCGCCCGGGCCCTGACCTCCACCCGTGCGGCCCCATCGTCCAGGCTGTGTACCAGACTCTGACTTCCTGCAGCCAAGTAAGAAGACCCCTTTCCCTCCCCGTTACTGGAGCTCAGGGGCAGCCCCTGGTGGGGGACCTGAGGGCTGGGACCGCCGGCGGGCACCTTGGGGAGGGACACCTGTGCCGGGGAAGGGGGGGTGGTCTGAAGTGGATTGTCCCCCAACAAGAGCTCCAGGTCTTCAGGGGGGTGTTTCTGGACCTGTGGGCCCGGTCCCAAAGAGGTGCATGCGTGGGCCAGGCTGGGCCGTTGGTGGCCACGTGGGGCCTCCACCTTCTGGCCCTTCTGTCAGTTTCACACTGTTGCTGCTAGACAGACGGAAAGGCCTCACCTGCCACTGACCGTGACCCAGATGGACAAGTCAGGGAGAAGCTGTAGCACGTGGCTGACCTGACTACAGAAATATTTCCTTCTGTTCCTCATTTCAGATCTCCAGGCTCCAACCTAGGAAGAGGGTTTTCTTAGGATTATATTTGCTCAAGGGGTTCCAGGGTGTTTATTTTGGGTTTTTAAATGCAAAGGCTCCTAGACTTGAAAACGCCCGGCAGACCTGTCTGCTGAGAGCCCTACAACAGGGACATTTTGAGCACAGTTCTCTCCCCTCAGAAAGGCCGTTTATTTTAGGACAGTTATGTCCCCGCCCTGCTGTCTGCTTTGCTTAGGCTGGGGCGCCACGCAGTGTGGGCCACTGCTGGAAAGTTACTGGTGCTGAGGCCTGCCAGCACGGGGTGGGCACGTGATGGTGTGGCGTCCCCGCTGGGCCAAGAGGAACGGGACTCAGGTGGAGACCCTGATGGATGGCCCCCAGCCTTGGCTGTCTTTGGGGGTGACTTCTTCCCGGCTCGAGGGGGCTGGGAAGGGGAGCGTGGTGGGAAGCCACACATCACCTCTGTAGGTCAACCTACCATAGTGTTGCTGCCCGTGTCCTTCCTCCTGCCTCCTCTTCCTTCCTAGCTGCTGAAAGCCGTCGTGGAGGCCACTAATACCTCCGTGAGCACTGCGAACATGGTAGCCAAGCATCAGGGAGAGCAGAGCTGCTGGGGCAGCGACAACTCCATGATGAGTCTAGGTACGGGGTCACCCCTTCCTGCCTCTGAGGCCCGCCGCGTGGCCAAGGCCCTGCATCATGCGTGGGCTCCTTGTTCTGTGCTTGACCAGGACTCAGGGCATTGGGGGAGCAGCGCTTTACTTTCCTCTTCTTCTTCTCGATCGTGGTAACATATCTGACGTACAATCTGCCGTTGTAACCATCGGTAAGTGTATAACACAGTAGCTTCAGTTACGTGTATAGTGTTGTACAAACACCATCTCCATTTCCAGAATTTCTCATCACCCAAGCAGAAACTCTGCAGCCCTGAAGCAATGACGCCCCATTTCCCTTTCCCCATCCCGTCGTAACCACTGGTAGACTTTCGCCTCTATCCTTTTTCCAACTCTAGATATTTCACATAGGTGGGATCATGCAGTCCTTTTGTGACTGAATTCACTCAGCAGTATGGTTTCAAGGTTCTTCCGTGTGGGAGCGTGCGTGAAGACTTCATTTCTCCTGCTGGCCGATTAGTGGTCCATTGTACGTATGGACCACAGTTTGTTCCTCCATCCTCTGTTGTTGGGTGTTCAGGTCATTTCCACCTTTGGTCTGTTGTGAATAGTGCCGCTATGAACATTCGCGTACAGGTATCTGAGTCCCTGCTTTCAAGTCTCTTGGGTATTGTTAAAGATGGTGGCTGTAATCATCATGTATGTACAGTTTTGTATTAGGTTTTTTCTCTTTGACCTTGTTACCAGTGTTTTCTCCTTTCCTAAGGAACACTTTTAATGGTCGAACACTAGTCCATTTGCTTCACAGATTCTCTATGACTGAGCCTCTATGTCGTTTTCAGCTTTTTACGGTGAGGCACAATACTGTTGCAGTATTTACAAGCATGTAAACAATGGTCTATCCGAATGGTGGAATAGTATGCATTGTTAAAAGAGTCGGTTGCAATAAGATTTGAATGGCTGGAGACAATCCGTGTCATAAAATGGTAAAGGGAAAACACAGGTTAAAAACGTCCATATACAGTATGATGTCACCTTTTAAAACGAAATAGAAGAAACTCTTGAAGGAAATGAACCAGATTATTAGTGGTTTTCTCTGTGTTGGAATCAGAGGTGATTCTTTATCCTTCTCTGTGGTTTTCAAATTTTCTGTAACAAACATGCATTACTTAGGCTAGTTTTTTCCCCTGGTTATCGGTGTTTTAAAAAGGATGCAGTGAACTTGTTTGTACATAACGTTTTTCCTCATTTTCAGAGGATTTCCATTTCACTATGGTCTCCTCCATTGGGTTTTATCATTTTAACATTTTTGCTATTTGGAGCCTTGGTGGCACAGTGGTTAAGAGCTCGGCCACTAACCAAAAGGTCGGCAGTTGGAATCCACCAGCTGCTCCTTGGAAACCCTATGGGGGCAGTTCTGCTCTGTCCTAGAGGGTCGCTATGAGTCGGAATCAACGGCAATGGGTTTGGGTTTCGGTTTGGTGGCCTCCTCCATTGGGTTTTTATCATTTTAACATTTTTGCTATTGGATAGGAGTAAAATTGTACCTTAATTTTAATTACACTTTTTTTCTGAACACATTTTAATGGTAGAAATATGCATTCAGAAAAGTTTTTTTTTTTTTTTTTAAAGTAAGAAGACTAACGTTTAGTGAGGAGTCTCAACTCTCAGGGATAGAAACACGAAAGGGTTTGATTTTGTCCCCACTCACGAACTGTGCAATGTCAAGCCCCTCTTTCTGTACAGTTCAGATGATTTCAAAGTGAATACTTGTGTGACCATGACTACCCAGGTCAAGAACTAGAACGTGAGGGACACCCTAGAGCCCCCGCCACGTGCCCCTTCAGAATACAACTCTCTCCTGCTTAAACGTTACTCCTGTCCTGACCTTCAGGATAATTATTTCTTTGCTTTTCTTTTTCATTTCACCTCGCTGTGTAATAGACTTTACTTTAGCCTGTTATTTAATTTTATTTGAAAGGAAAGATACCATAGGTATTCTCTCGTGTCTTGCTTCTTTTGCTCAGCGTTATTTTTGTGAGATTCATCTGTGTTCTGTGTATCTGTCATTTGTTCATTTTCATTGCCATGTAGCAAGGGTAGGTAAACTTTTTCAGAAAAGAGCCAGATAGTAAATATTTTAGGCTTTGCAGGCCACATGCTCACTGTTCCAATCACTCAGCTCTGCTGTTGTAGCACGAAAACAGCCATAGACAACATGTAAATGAATGAGCATGGTTGTGTTTCAATAAAACGTTATTTACAAAAATAGGTGGCAGGCCATAGTTTGCCAACCCCTGTCGTAAAGTATTCCACTGTATGACTGTACTTCACTTTATTTATCCATTCTACTGTTGGTGGACATGTGGCTTGCTTCAATTTTGGGCTGCTATAAACATCCTTGGACATGTATCCTTGTGCATATGTGTACACGTTTCTTTTTTTTCTAAATTTTATTTATTTTGTTGTTGAGAATATACACAGCAAAAATATACACCTATTCAACAGTTTCTACATGTACAATTTAGTGACATTGATTACATTCTTCTAGTTGTGCAACCGTTCTCACCCTCTTTTTCTGGGTTGTTCCTTTTCATTCACATAAACTCATTGACCCCTAAGGTTCCTATCTAATCATCTTTCGAGTTGCTGTTGTCAATTTGTTTCCATGTAGATTGTTCTTAAAAGAACATAATGCTCAAGGCAGACCTTTTTTTTTTTTTTACTAGTTAAGCTAAACTACTGTTTGGTTTTAAGAAGACTTCAGGGGATATTTTTGGTTTAAGGTTTAAAGATTAACTCAGGACGATAGTTTTAGGGGTTCATCCACCCTCCATGGCTCCAGAAAGTCTGGAGTCCATGAGAATTTGAAATTCTGTTCTGTATTTTCCCGCTTTTGATCAGGGGTCTGCTATGGTGTGCAAGATTCTTTAGGATGTCTTCCTAGGAGTAGAATTATTGAGTCATGGAGAGAGTATACAATTTCTTCAGTGTTAATAAATACTGCCATGTTGTTCACCCCTTCCACACACATACATCCAGCAGTGTACGAGACATCCCATTGCTCCACAGCCCCATCAACACTTAGTATGGTCAGACTTTTTCATTGTTGCCAATTTTGTAAGTGTGTGATGGTATTTCATTGCAGTTTTATTTTGCATTTCTGTGATTACTCACAAGGTTGCACCTTTTCATACATTTATTGATCATTGACGTTTTCTCTTTTGTGAAGTGCCTATTTCAATCGTACTCATTTTTCTCTTCGGTTACTTGTCTTTTTCTCACTGACGTGTAGCCCTTTTTTATCTTCTGGATACAAGTCCTCGGATGCTCACTGTAGTGCAGACCTCTTCTTCCACCATGTGGATTTTATTTTCATACCTTTTTTATGGCCTTTGAATGTACAGTAGCTTTTAATGTAAATGTAGTTACGTTTATCCATCTTTTTTTCATGGATAGTGCTTTTTGTGTCTTACTGACGATATATTTCTCTACTCTAACATCGTGAAGATAGTCTCGTATATTACCTTCCAAAAGATTGATAGCATTACCTTTTAGACTTAGGTCATTAGTCTGCCCGTAATTTATTTTTGTGTGTGGTGTGAGGGAGTGTAATTTCATTTTATTCTATGTGGATACACAATTGTCTCAGCACCATGTCGTGGAAATCTGTTTTCCCACCATTGATTTACAACACCATCACCTCTGTACTGGCATAGGTGGGTTTCTGGGTTCTCTATTCTGTTCTGTTTCTCTATCCCTGCACCAATACCATATTTCGGGAGGTTAAAAAAGAAACAACAAAATAAACTCAAAGAAAGAAAGAAGGTAAAGCCAGTCTTCCCACCTTGTTCTTTTTTTTTTTAAAAATAATACCTTTATTGAGATACAATTCCCATACGCTAAAATTCGCCCTTTTAAAGTGTACAATTGAGTGGTTTTTAGTATAGTTGTGCAGCCATCACTACTATCTAGTGTAAGAACATTTTCATCGCCCCAAGCCCCTGGCAGCCACTAATCTACCTTTTATCTGTGTGGATTTGCCTGTTCTTGACATTTCATATAAATTGTTGTTAGGTGCCGTCGAGTCACTTCCGACTCATAGTGACCTTGTGTACAACAGAATGAAACATTGCCCATTCGTTCCCCATCCTCACAGTCGTCGTTATGCTTGAGCCCATTGTTGCAGCCACTGTGTCAATCCATCTTGTTGACGGTCTTCCTCTTTTTCACTGACCTTCTACTTTACCAAGCATGATGTCCTTCTCCAGGGACTGATCCCTCCTGATAACATGTCCAAAGTACGTGCGACTTAGTCTCGCCATCCTCACTTCTAAGGGGCATTCTGATTGTACTTCTTCCATGACAGATTTGTTTGTTCTTGTGGCAGTCCATGGTATATTCAATATTCTTCACCAACACCACAATTCAAAGGCGTCAATTCTTCTCTTTGATCTTCCTTATTCACTGTCCAGCTTTCGCGTGCATATGAGGCGATTGAAAATACCATGGCTTGGATCAGGCGCACCTTAGTCTTCAAGGTGACGTCTTTGCTTTTCAACACTTTAAAGAGGTCTTTTGCAGCACATTTGCCCAGTGCAGTGCATCATTTGATTTATTGACTGCAGCTTCCATGGATGTTGATTGTGAATCCAAGTAAAATGAAATCCTTGACAACTTTGATTTTTTCTCTGTTTATCATGATGTTGCTTATTGGTCCAGTTGTAAGGATTTCTGTTTTCTTTATGTCAAGCTGTAATCCATACTGAAGGCTGTGGTCTTTGATCTTCATCAGCAAGTGCTTCAAGTCCTCTTCACTTTCAGCAAGCAAGGTTGTGTCATCTGCATAATGCAGGTTGTTAATGCATCTACCTCCAATCCTGATGCCCCGTGCTTCTTCATACAGTCCGGCTTCTCAGATTATTTGCTCAGCATACAGACTGAATAGGTATGGTGAAAGGATACAACCCTGACACACACCTTTCCTGACTTTAACCCACGCAGTATCCCCTTTTTCTGTTAGTACAACTGCCTCTTGGTCTACTTATAGGCTCCTCATGAGCACAATTAAGTGTTCTGGAGTTCCCATTCTTTGCAATGTTATCCATAATTCGTTATGATCCACACAGTCAAATGCCTTTGCATAGTCAATAAAACACAGATAAACATCTTTCTGGTATTTTCTGCTTTCAGCCGGGATCCATCTGACATCAGCAATGATATCCCTCGTTCCACGTCCTCTTCTGAATCTGGCTTGAATTTCTGGCAGTTCCCTGTCGATGTACTGCTGCAACTGCTTTTGAATGATCTTCAGCAAAATTTTACTTGTGGGTAATATTAATGATATTCTTCGATAATTTCCACATTCTGTTGGATCACCTTTCTTTGGAATGGGTACAAATATGGATCCCTTCCAGTCTGTTGGTCAGGTAGCTGTCTTGCACATTTCTTGGCATAGACGAGTGAGCACTTCCAGTGCTGCATCCGTTTGTTGAAACATCTCAACTGTATTCCGCCAATTCCCGGAGCCTTGTTTTTCACCAGTGCCTTCAGTGCAGCTTGGACCTCTTCCTTCAGTACCATAGGTTCCTGATCATATGCTACCTCCTGAAATGGTTGAACATCGACGGATTCTTTTTGGTATAGTGACTCTGTGTATTCCTTCCATCTTCTTTTGATGCTTCCTGCATCATTTAATATTTTTCTCGTAGAATCCTTCAAAACTTCAACACAAGGCTTGAATTTTTTTCTTCAGTTCTTTCAGCTTGAGAAACGCTGAGCGTGTTCTTCCCTTTTGGTTTTCTAGCTCCAGCTCTTTGCACATGTCATTATAATACTTTGTCTTCTGAAGTCGCCCTTTGAAATCTTCTGTTCAGCTCTTTTACTTCATCATTTCTTCCATTTGCTTTAGCTACTTTACATTCAAGAGGAAGTTTCAGAGTCTCTTCTGACGTCCATTTTGGTCTTTTCTTTCTTTCCTGTCTTTTTAATGGCCTCTTGCTTCCTTCATGTATGATGTCCTTGATGTCATTCCACAACTCGTCTGGTCTTCAGTCATTAGTGTTCAACGCATCAAATCTATTCTTGAGGTGGTCTCTGAATTCACGTGGGATATACTCAAGGCCGTACTTTGGCTCTCATGGACTTGTTCTAATTTTTTCAGCTTCAACTTGAACTTGCATATGAGCAATTGATGGTCTGTTCCACAGTCGGCCTCTGGCCTCGTTCTGACTGATGATATTGAGCTTTTCCGTCATCTCTCTCCACAGATGTAGTCAATTTGATTCCTGTGTATTCCATCTGGCGAGGTCTGTGTGTATAGTTGCCATTTATGTTGGCGAAAAAAGGTATTTGCAATGAAGAAGTCGTTGGTCTTGCAAAAGTCTATCAGGTGATCTCCGGCATTGTTTCTATCTCTAAGGGCATATTTTCCAACTACCAATCCTTCTTCTTTGTTTCCAGCTTTTGCATTCCAATCACCGGTAATGTCATTGCATCTCGGTTGCATGTTTGATCAGTTTCAGGCTGCAGAAGTTGGTCAAAATCTTCAGTTCCTTCATCTTTGGCCTTGGTGGTTAGTGCGTACATTTGAATAATAGCTGTATCAACTGGTCTTCCTTGGAGGCGTGCGGATATTATCCCATCACTGACAGCGTTGTACTTCAGGATAGATCTTGAAATGTTCTTTTTGACATGAATGCAATAGCATTCCTCTTCCAGTTATCATTCCTGGCATAGGAGACCATCAGTTGCTGACATGGAGGAATGTCTTTGGATGCCCTCCCCCCAGGTTCTTGCCCTCTCCCCGGGCTCCAGTCCTGCCCCCGGGTTCCGGCCCTCTCCCTGGGCTCCGGCCCTCTCCCCGGGCTCTTCTCCCCGGGCTGTGGCCTCCCTGCTGCCCTTTGCCTGCCCACACACACCTGTCACACATGTACTGAGTACCCAGGAGCCTGCTTTCTTTCTGATTGGTTCATGACAGCGGGATCCTCCATTTTCAGATTTACTGTAACGTTTCTCCTAATCACCACTGTCACTGTGACTCTTACCACCAGTGTATATAATTGTTCTTAATAAGATACTTTCCATTCATGCACTCATAATGTAATAATTATTATTGATAATTGTGACAGGGCGCCATCTCACCTGTGACTGGGGCACCAGAGGACTGGTGTCAGACTGTGCTTTTCTGACAGACACCACTGACGGCAGGGCTGGGTTAACCCCTCAGTCCCTCCCTCCTGCCTGCCTTCCCTCCTTGACCTTTGCTTGCTCTCAAGCTCTGGCTGCCCCGGTGGGTCTGGAGAGTTGGAGGGAGAGGGTGGTGCTGGCTTTCTACAGAATGGAGGTGGCCTCCCAGTTCCTCCTGCCTCAGATCTACTCCAGGCAGCTTCCTGCTTCTGTTTCACCTGAATTCTTAGACTGTAGACTCTCCTAGACTGCTGGGTGAGCCCCGAATTCCCACTGAAGGCAAGCAGAGTGGTGCTCCGCCTTTGCCTGTTTCCCCAGTGGACAGTGAGGAGCTGAGCCTGGTGGATGTGCTTAGAACATGCAGAGACTTTCTAATGCCAAGCGGGGGTGAAGGTCTGGGAGGAGGACAATTGTCCAAGACCTTGCCTACTCCCTCCTGAAGATGACAGAGGGGCTGAATGGGTAACTGGGCAAAGTGCACATGTGTGATTAGTCTGGTTAGAACACAGCAAGCTGCTCCCCCATGGGCTGCCTCTCCTAGACCCTGGTGGGCAGGGTGGTGGGCAGGGAGGGCCCCGGGAGAGGAAGGGTCTCAGTCTAGCACAGGGCCCCCAGAGCTGGTGGGCAGGATGGTGGGCAGGGAGGGCCCAGGGAGAGGAAGGGTCTCAGTCCAGTGCAGGGCTCCCAGAGCTGGTGGCCCAGCCCACAGTGTGGCTGGAGGGTAGGGCCACCTCCCATGGGCATCACACTCCCTGTACTCCAGCCTCCTGCCCCGGCACAGCCCCCAGGCTCGGCCATTTCTGAGTCCCAGTGAGAGTCTGGCCACCATACCATGGGAGGTGGAAGACAATGGGGGGGTGGGCTTTGCTGGGTGCGCTGGGGCCTGGCCTGGACCTCTGGACTCATGCAGCCATTTGCCTTTGTTTTTCTCTGCAGCCACCAAAATGCAAGAGCTCACACTGAAATACAAGCTCTTCAACGAGACCCTGCGGAAAGGCCCCGACTAGTCATCACTGCATTGTTCTCCAGGGGGCACCGCGTGGAGGGAGTGGGAGGAGGAGGGCGGAGGTGGGAGACAAAGGAGACCTCAGGTTCTAAGAAGTTGCCTCCGCCTGCTTTTTTTTGCGTTTTCTCGGTTTTGCTTTGCGGCTCTGTGACCTTCGCCTCCCTGTGCTGGCCGCCAGCTGCCAGCCCTCCATCCCTCCCTCCACAGTTATCCCCAGGCCAGGCCTGGCGGGGACCCTCCGGCTCCCATAGCGTCTCCTCTCCTCTGCTCCCACTCCCCATCTTCTGCCGGCCTCAGGGAGGGCTCCTCACAGACCCTCAGCCCAGCCCTCCCCGCGGCGCCTGCAGCACTCTGGGGACAGCTGCTGGCACCCACTTGGGTGAGGCTCCGTGGGTGGGACTGCCTCCTCCCCCCTCCCCAGGGCACTTAGCACCGGGCGGGAAATTCCTGGCTGTAGCCTGACTGGTTGTCCAGGAAGCTCCTCTCTGAGCAGTGTCCCTGTCACGGCCACCTCCCTCCCTTCGAGCTCAGGAACAGGCATGACTGGTGCAGCGGCTGCCTCCCTGAGCTCAGGCCTCTGGCCCGGGGCCTCCGGGGACTTCCTGGAAGGGGGTGGGTGAGGGGGCTTTGCCTGAGACACTTGCGCCCCCCAGCCCGCAGCCCACCCTCGTGGCCAGCCTCACCATCTGCTCTGCCCACTTGGCCCTGCCCCCGGCACCTTCTGCCTCTGTGTCCCCAAATTCCCTGGGTGGGCTCTCAAAACGAGAAGCCTGAGGCGCCCCCACCTGCTGTCCCGTGAGGTGAGAAGGCAGGCAGGTGTGTGGTCACCACTGTGCGGGTACGCCGACAGCCTCAGGGGCCCAGGGCCTGTGAGGGCCCACAGCACCAGGCTGGGCCTGCAGTGCCCCCCCCACACCGAGTGCCGGCGTGCCTCACCTGGGATGAGGCTGCTAGGAGGATGTCTACCTCCTGGGCCAGGGCTGCTGTGGGGGCGGGGGGGCTGGCTGGTGATACCCTGCTGGGTCCGGGGAGCCCCCAAGCTTCCAGCCTCACCCCACATGCTCCCTGCAGGCCACCCGCTTGGAGCCCCCACATGGCCATTTGTAGGTGGCTGGGGGCTTGAGTGGAAACCCTGGTGGCTCAATGGTTAAGAGCTACAGCTGCTAACCAAAAGGTTGGCAGTTCTAATCCACCAGGCGCTCCTTGGAAACACTATGGGGTAGTTCTACTGTGTCCTATAGAGTTGCTATGAGTTGGAATCAACTGGATGGCAACGGGTTTGGTTTTGGTTTTTGGGAGCCCTGGTGGCGTAGTGGTTAAGAGCTATGGCTGCTAACCAAAAGGTCAGCAGTTTGAATCCACCAGTCGCTTCTTGGCAACCCTATGGGGCTAGGAGTCAGAATAGACGCCACGGCAACGGGTTTTTGTTTGAGGTCTTCGGCGTGCAGGCAGGATGCGGCTCTTGTGCCTCAGCTTGGTGGGTGGACGGGTCTCCGGGCTCAGCCATCTGCCCTCCCATCTTGACTGCCTGTTCCCGGGCTCGCACTGCTCGTCCATCCGCCTGCCTGTCATCTGTCCAGCACCTGGGAAGAAACTGCTCAATTCTGCATCCCTCCTTCCCTCTTGGCTTGTTACACACGATGGGTCATTGCACCCTTGATGACAGATACCATCTCTGTTCTGGTGGAAGATGAGCCCTCGAGGTGGGTGAATCACCCCAGGCCACCCTCGTCACTGGGTGACGCTAGAGTGTGCCCCCTCCCCTTCACAGACAGCACGAGATATGTAGGTGCCCCCTCACTCCTGAGCCCCCTTCAGCCTGATGCCCCATGACAGGAGAAACTGAGGCCCGGGAAGGTGGAGCTGGGCAGAGGGCACGGCCTCCCTGGAGGCTCGTGTTTCCTTCTGTCCCTGTGACGACACGTTCCTGCACCCACGGTGGTATGTGTCGGGAGCCCGTGTGGCCCGGGAGCCAGCTCCTTGCTTTGTAGATACGGGGTGTGTGTGCCCCAGTGGCTATGAGCAAGCAAGGGAGTGAGCCAGTGAGGGGGCGGCGAGCCGGCCACACTGGTCCTGCGGCCGTTGCCCAACAGGCAGCTGGGGGCGGGCCTCGGCCGTTGATTAAAGGCTGCCTGCAGCAGCCTGCAGGTCACAGGTGCTCAGCAGCCCAGAAGCCGGCCGGCACCCACCCCAGGTAAGCCAGGACAGGCCACCCCGAGCTCGAGCCTGGAGACGGCAGCGGCAAGGTTGGGGCTGGCCCCTGGAGGCCGGGGAAAAGGCAGGGGAGGCCGAGCACCAGGGAGGGCCAGAGTCACAGTCACTCTCTTGGGCCCTAGCCCCAGGGATGGAGAGGCAGGGTCCAGGCCTGAAGCTCCCAGCCAAGCCTCTCAGTGAAGGTAGCATTCCCAGGGCTGCACCAGCGTGGGGGCCCTGAAGCAGGGTGGGCGCCAAGCAAGAGGCAGAGGGCTCTAGTGTCTGTGCAAGTCAGGCCTGCCTTCTGCTGTTGGTAAGGGCCCCTGGGGACGGAGTGGGGCCGGTGACCAGCCTCTGAGAGGTCCCGTCCCGGACAGAAGTAACAGGTCCCCACCAAAAGCGCCATTGTGTCGGCTGCGTGTGCCAGGCCCTGGCGTCTCCGTCTCTTTTGCTCCGGCAGCTTTAGGCCACCCTGTCCCCGTAAGCTAATCGCCATGTCTGAGGCACCCCGGGCTGAGACCTTTGTCTTCATGGACCTGGAAGCCACCGGGCTCCCGGATGTGGATCCTGAGATTGCTGAGATATCCCTGTTTGCCGTCCACCGCTCTTCCCTGGAGAACCCAGAGCTCGACGAGGTGGGCGCCCCTGTGCTGCCCCGGGTCCTGGACAAGCTCACCCTATGCATGAGCCCGGCGCGCCCCTTCACCGCCAAGGCCAGCGAGATCACGGGCCTGAGCAGCGAGGGCCTGGCGCAGTGCCGGAAGGCCGGCTTCGATGGCGCAGTGGTGCGGACGCTGCAGGCTTTCCTGAGCCGCCAGGAGGGCCCCCTCTGCCTTGTGGCCCACAACGGCTTCGATTACGACTTCCCCCTGCTTTGCACAGAGCTGCAGCGCCTGGGCGCCCACCTGCCCCCGGACACTGTCTGCCTGGACACGCTGCCCGCGCTTCGGGGCCTGGACCGCGCTCACAGCCATGGCACCCGGGCCCAGGGCCGCAAGGGCTATAGTCTGGGCAGCCTCTTCCGCCGCTACTTCCAGGCTGAGCCGAGCGCTGCCCACTCGGCCGAGGGCGACGTGCACACGCTGCTCATGGTCTTCCTGCACCGCGCGGCTGAGCTGCTCGCCTGGGCCGACGAGCAGGCCCGCAGCTGGGCCCACATCGAGCCCATGTACGCCCCACCTGAGGTCCCAAGCCCCGAGGCCTGAGCGGCTGGCACCCTGGCGCACGAGAGCCAACTCCCCGCGCCTGGACCAGCCTGCGAGCCCTTCGCAACCCCGGCCGGCCTTGACACTTGACTCGCTGGGTGGCCGACACCAAGCCCCTCATCTGGCTCTTCTGGCTGGGCAGCCCAGGCTCCCCCCGGGCCCTAGAGCCTTCTTCCCACCCTACTCCACGCCCGTTCCCCTGGCCGGCCTGGGTACTCGGGTGACTTGGCCGCGGTGTTTTGGGTCTCCCACCTCTCACTCTGTCTCAATAAACATGGCAACCGACTCCCGCCTCACTGCCCTGTGCCCCAGCAGCACCCGGTCGCTGCCCCCATTCTATCCCTGTGGTCAGCTCGGGGCAGAGTGGGGAGACCAGGGCCTGGGTGGTCCTGAGCCACAGGCCACCGGCCTGGCAGCCTCCCACCAGCGCCTCTCCCGTCTCCTCAAGGTGGGCCCAAGTCTGTGCCCGGGGAGGAGGCGAAAGAGGGAGCTGCCCACACGGGCACACAGCTCCGCCCCAGCTCGTTGGCTCCACCTGGAAGGCCCGGCCCTCGCTGGAGAACAGCGCGGTGCCCGGCAGCCCTGGTGTGCTCATGAAGAGGGAGTCCCCACCCACCCTGTGCAGGCACACACGTCACAGGGCCCTCAAAGGTATAAACTGGGCGACGGGAGTGTCCCGGGGTGCAGGGTGCTGTGGAGGAGCCAAGGAGAGATAGGCGGCCGCATGGGAAGGCCAGACCCAGGTAGGGGTCCGTCCTGGGCCTCATCTCCCTCCCGAGTGGCCCTGGCCAGACCTTTGGAAGCTGGGACCTGCTCGTGGTGCCCCATCTGGAGGTGCTGCTGGCCTCGTGGGAGGCGGACCGGGGGAGGAGGGGGTAGAGGGGGTGGGGTGGCCACTCCTGCAGAGTGACTCTTGGCAAAGGCCCGAACCAGCTGGGCCCGTTCAGGGAATCCTAAGTAGGTCACGATGACGAGCAGCTTAGATGTGCCAGTTGGCGGGAGGATGAGGGCTCGGGGCCGCCAGCGGTGCTGAGCAGGGTTTCTGTCAATCAGACGATGTGCACCATGGATGGGATGGCGGCTAAGGGCAGAATGACGGAGCTGGGGGAGGGAGGGCCCGAAGAGGGCTAGCTGGGGAGCCTGGCCAGTGCCCAGAAGGTCTGTGCCCTTGCCCAGCTTCCCGAGGAGGGCTGCTTGGGTCCCCGCCCTGGGAGCGCGCCCACGTGGCTAGGGCTAGCTGAGCAGGGGTGGGGCCTCAGGCCAGGACCCTGCACCAGACAGGAGCAGAAAGAGTGGGGGACAGCCAGGAGGATGGCAACTACCTGCCTCTGGCTGGGTTCCCAGCAAGAACGGGAGCCTTGGCCAGCAGGTGAGGCCTTTGAAACCCTGGCCTGGCCACCAACTCTCTGGGGGGGGGGGGGCGGTGGCACCAACTGGGTCCCTTCCGCCTTGGCAGCCGGGCTCAGACGGACAGGTGGATGGCCTCAACAGCCAACTTGTGGCCTTTCTGGGCCCAGGTGCTGCTCCTCACCCCTCTGGGCTCCCCAGGCTCCATGGTGGCCTGAGCTCAGTCACCTTCCTGAGTCCATGCCCTGACTGGGCAGGCCAAGCACTGCTGAGGAATGTTTGACAGTGGCTTTGCGGGAAAAGAAATGTGTGTCTTAAGTCAGTCTCTTTTGAGATACGAGCGAGTCAGAGAAGCAAGTCAGAGAAGCAGAGACAGGGGAAGAGAAGCTCAAAGAGACAAGGACCTTCCCCCAGAGCCGACACAGAGAGAAAGCCTTTCCCTGGAGCTGGCAGCCTGAATTCAGACTTCTAGCCTCCTAGACTGTGAGAGAATAAATTTCTGTTCGTTAAAGCTGTCCACTTGTGGTATTTCTGTTACAGCAGCACTAGATAACTAAGACAGTTGCATTTAACAATTTGCTTGTAAAATTCCTGAAAATTTAACACCTATTCCCAAAAACCAAACCAAAACCTTTGCCATCTAGTCGATTCAACTCATAGCGACCCTACAGGACAGAGTAGAATGGGCTAAACTTAAAAGACAGACCATACTAAGTGTTGGCAAGGATATATGACTGGTGGGAAAGTAAAATGGTACCAACAGTTGGGAAAAGTTTGGCAGTGTCTTAAAAGTTAAACATATAGCTACCATATCATCCATCTATTACACCGTTCAGTCTTTACCCAAGAGAAATGAATTCACACGTCCACACAAAGACCCGTCCGCGAACGTTCAGGCAGCTTTATTCGAGTAATAGCCCTGTGTGGTCCCGCCATCTTGCAGGCTCGTGCTCAGTCAGAAAACGGAATGAACTGTTGATACCCGCAAAGACTTGGGTGGGTCTCAGCAATTATGCTGAGTGAAGGCAGCCAGACACGGAAGAGCTGCAATTTGTCCCTGAGCTCCCTGAGCTCGTTCCTGGCCGGCCACCTGCCTCTCATCAAGATGCATTGCCAACGGACAGGCCACATCAGGCCATGAGGGGCGTCGGCCAATGGGGACACAGCTGTGATCACGAGAGCGTACCTGGGGGACGTAAATCAATTGAAAACGGAATTATCCGTGGAGAAGGACAGATAATGGAATAAAAGGCCATGAGCATTGCCAGTGTGTCTTTGTGTAGGAGACTATGTGACAAGGACAAAGTCTGAATCAGGTCGTGCGCAGCCCAGAGCAGAAAGCTGGAGAGATGAAATGGCTGCCCGGGTGGAAACAGCTGGATGGTTTCAGGTTTCGCAAGTAAAGAATTCAGCCCACAGGGCCAGTGTGCCGAGGTTCACGGGAAGGCTCCTCCCCTCGCCCACAGCGCTGGCAGCATCACCGTGACCTGGCTTTCCGGCGCCTCGGCTCGTGTGCATGCAAAATCCCCCGCACACCTCCACGTGCAGCCCCACGAGCACACACTCCACCCCATCCCCACACGCACACCTGCGTTCACACATGAGCATACACCCCCTACTCCCACCCACTCACACAGTCCCCACACACGCGCCCCTCCACTTCCACCGCACCACATCCTCCCACCCCCCACTTACACCCGTCTCTCACACCCACTCACGCAACCCCCACAAACAGCCGTGACTCACATGCACTCACTTATGCGAATGTGCCATACACTCGCACCCCCACACTGTGCCCCCCACATTCATTCCCTGACACAAACACCACCACACCCCCTCACCCTATTCATACACACACCTCATTCACACACTCACGCATGATTTTGCATACGTGGGATCTTATTAGATGTGAATTTAAAAAACTCATAAACACCTTTTTGTTTAAGACTGTTTTTATAGTCAATGCCCTGTAGGTGTTCAGATGTATTGACATAATTTTTTCTGTTTCTGCAGCATCTGTATGCTAATTGTGTATAGTTGGGTTACTTCTCTCCTTTTTCCTTAACAAGGATTGTTTGATACATTTCATTGGTCTTTTCAAAGAAGAAAACCAGGAATTTGCTTTAGCTTCTCTCCTCAGTGGCGTCGCTAGGGTTGGTGTCACCTCCCCCCCGTGCTAATTACCACAATATTGTAGTTAAATGCCAGAAAATTTGACAAAATCAGCCACTATAAAAACACCGCCGGCTACGCAAACAACATCACATGCTTGTAGCGCGTGCAGAAGAAGCCACGTGATTCGAAGCGTCATTGTAATTAGGTAATAATGACAGCTCTGCCTGGAGCGCGTTAGAAGGTTTGGAAGGTAAATTAGCACAGGGTTTTGGCCTTGCAGGTATATTGATCCATGTAAGCTGGGCTTACGAAAAATGTCGTTGTTATAACCACGGGGATATTTTCATAAAACAGAAATTTCTGCTGAAATACTGCACAAAAATTTTATCGACAGTCATTTTGGTGTCACCCCCCCCCTCTGGCAGTGTCACCCTGGTGACGCCACTGTCTCTTTTTTTTTCCTGCTTCATTAACTTTAGCTTTTATCTTTATTCATTTCACCTGCCTATTTTCTTTTGCTTTCTTTTTTTTCAAATTTCTTAAGATGCAGACTAGCTTCCTCTGTCATCTGCCTTTTTGGATAATTAAGGCACTCACGCAAAGGCCGTTGAGTTGGCTGTGACTCATGGCAACCCCAGTTACAACAGAAGGAAATGTCACGCAGTCTCATGCCATCTTTATGATAGCTGGTCTGCTTGAGTCCATTGTTGAGGCCCCTGTGTATTTTGAGTGCCTTCCAACCGAGGGGGCTCATTTTCCAGCACTGTATTGGACAATATTCTGTTGTGATCCATAAAGTTTTCATTGGCTAATTTTCAGAAGTAGATTGCCAGGCCTTTCTTCCTGGTCTATCTTAGTCTGGAAGCTCTGCTGAAACCTGTCCACCATGAGTGCCCCTGCTGGTATTTGAAATACTGATGGCACAGCTTCCAGCATCACAGCCACATGCAAGCCACCACAGTACGACAAACTGACAGACGGGTGGTGGTGTTACTTTATAGACAGTTGGTAATTTCACTTTTGATTTCTTCCTTGATCTAATTGCATAGTAGAGTTCGTCTTAATTGCTGGCTACTTAAGAGTTTGTACCATTTTCTATGATGATTTCGAATTGCATAGAATACAAATCTGAGGATGTGCTATTTAAAATATCTTTTCGAATTAAGATTGTCTGGGGGCCGCACGCATAAATAACTTTTGTAAATGTTCCACAGACTGAAGTCTTTCTCGTTTTCACTTGTTTGGCATCTGCTACATCTGTCCAATTCTCTGATGTTATTCCAATCTTCCACAAGACTTGCACGCCTAGCGGTTCGTCTGTATATGTTTCGTTGCCGTGTCCCCGCTCACATCTTGAAGATATCACACCGTCTTTGTTCTCTGGGCTTTTTCACAGAGTACCTGCCCAGCCACGCCGTGGGCGTCCGCCTAGACTTACCTGCAGTTCACAAGGCTGACCCCACCACGGCTTCCTCTGTCTCCATGTTCTCTTTCCCGGTGTCTGCATTGTGTCTCAGCTGTTGTTTGGCCAGATTCCT